GTTGCATACAATATGCATAGGCCATCCTGCCGTCAAAACCACTTAAATATTTTGACCATTCTAAAACTATCGAGGCAGCAATTTTATTGTAAATGAAAAGCATTTCTTGACCACGATATCACCGCTAAATGCAATTAGCGAACCGTTACCCTGATGCGCACAAATAAAGTGCTGAGATTAAAATCGAGCACAAGGATTGAGAGCAGATACAATGCATTCGAGTTATCCTGGAAAATCATTTTTAAACACGGGAGCGAATTTCGCTCCGTTGTTTTAAGTCCTTAATAAATTGGACAGATGTAAGATTTAGTGTGGAAACTTCCTGTTGCTCGAGAAATTTAGTAGATGGCGGGTCTTTGTTTATTTTCAGCTTCAGTGATTATCAAATTCCTATTATTAAAAAACCAGGCAATTGCGTATCAGACTCGTCCACGAAGGGTTCCGTTCTGTTATCTATACAACATTAGACACTTATTATAATACCGAGCAAAAACCGGAAAAAAGTATATTGTATGGGAGCCCCCCCTTTGATTTAAACAAAATAATTTAACTAAATATTTATTTAAAAATAATTATTTAAAAAAAATACCTAAATAAATATCGAAGAGATGCATTGCAGCCTAAGAACTACTAGAGAAAATTGTAGGGCCGATCTGCCTGAATAGCGTAGGGTCTGCTGCCTGGTCCGCGTGAATTATTTCTTGGTAGGATTTTCTTAAAAAAATATTAATTGAATAATAATAAATATTCTGTGAATATTACAAGCGTTTAACTATTGCCGTTATTAATTTAGAGTAAAAACGGCTAAAAACACGTTTGTTGTGTGGTCCCCTTAAATATTTTTTTTATTCTGTTAATAGTATTTATTTGTTATGGCGGCTACAGAAATACATCATCTGTGAAAATTTCCACTGTCTAGCTATCACGGTTCATGAGATACAGCCTGACACAGACGCACAGTGGAGTCTTTAGTAATAGGGTCCTATTTTTAGGGTTCCGTACCCAAAGGGTAAAAATTGAACCATAATGTTGTCACTCTGTTGTCTAACTGTCTGTCTATATGTCACGGATCTCTAGATCTTTAACGGAATGAGTTACATAACTGAAACTCTGATATTTTTAACTGACTTCAAATAGTCGGAGGTTCTAAATTCGGCCGCTATGTTTTTTATGTATGTACACCGATTACTCCGAGTTACTTATCGGATTTACGTGATTATTTTTTAAGGGATGCGTAATATTTGTTATTTGGTCCCATAAAAATTTGGTCCAGTTTCGCCCAGTAGATTTATATTAGAAACATTTTTGTTACTTGGACGATGTAATTTTCGCTTTAATGGATGAAATAAAAAATATTTTTGAACAAAAAATAAAACCGACTTCATAATCAAAAATGAAACTAAAAAGTAATAAATATTATGTTGTTCATGATTTGGAAGTCGGGCGGAGCCAAGGTTGAACGATGGAAGACTTGTAGATCTAATTAAACTATTTTTCACGAGGAGTGTGCCATACATGAAGATGAGACGAAAAAATATATATGTATTTTTTTACCCCAGCATATGATACATCATTGTTATTTAGCTCGATGAGTAGGGTATACTCGTAAATATAATTTTTATTATATTTTTATTCATAATAAAAAATAAATGGGGGACCGTAAAAGGGTGTCTTTGTATACGGAACCCAAAAAGTGATCATCCACGGCATGTTAAATAATTAACGGTGAACGATGCCATTGGCGAAGGGCTCTCAGAAACTTTTTGCAAATCTCAACAGGGCCGTATCCTCTAATCTGTACATAAAATTCTCGTTAAGATGGCGGCGAGTTTGAACAAAGTGCTTGTTAAGGAGCCTGAAGTTAATGTATACGTGTTTGTTATTGACAGTGTAGGTTTATATGACTAGAGGTTTGGGAAGACCAACTTTTCCCCCGACATTTTCTGTTGGATATTTTTTAACTTTTGAAAATGTTTTAGCCAGAAAGAAATATCATCATCATCAGCCTATTAATGTCCCTTTTGCAGGTGCACAGGCCTTTCCTATAAATAGAATAGGGAGACTGGCCGTGACTCACCTAGCGGACCCAGTGCAGATTGGTGGATGCTAACGACTGCAGAAGCAGCCAGGAAAAACGGTTTAACCTGCCTTCTGAAGCACGGAGGCGCTCTAGATAGGTACTAAGTTTTTGGTTAGACTAAACGCTATGCTACCAAGACCATAAAGAACGTATTGTTTCTTTTTAGCTCCTAGTATCTTTATAGGTCCATTTTTTATATACAACAGATGAAGTGATATAAATGAAGGAAAAGCGAATGAAGATTTTTTTCTAATTTTGATGCAAAAACTTGGTGTCTAAGTAGCGGCAATAGGTAAGTATTGAGAGTAGGGCATAGCGGTGTCCCACTCGAATTGGAGCGCCCGCCTGGGTAAGTAACCCTGAACCTTACAAAAGATTACAGTGAAATAACATTACCATTTTGTTTGTGTTGTGTTTCTGTCTGTGAGTAAGGTTCCATGCTCCACGGGGTATGGAATGGGTCAGGGTGGCAACCATCGCAACTTTTTGGCATCGCAAGCGTCTATAGTCTATAGTGGCCGCTTACTATCAGCGACCTACAATTTTATTTTTGTTTAGAAGTTTATTTTGAAAAATGTGCGTCTTATATCGAACTGTAAATGTGCTCTACCGCTTCTTATATTTTTGTGCAATAAATTATTATCCTAGTAATGTTATAAATGTCAAAGTTTGTATGTTTCTTTCTCAATCACGCAAAAACTACTGAACGGTTTTGGATGAAATTTGATAGACATATAGTTTATATCATGGCCTGACTTTAACGCGGACGCAGTTAAGCTGGTTGCCGCCGGTGTTAGTATACTAGATCTGAAAGTTTGTATGTTTGTTACACGATTCAATCACGAAGAAACTACTCAACGGAAATGGATGACATTTGGTACGCAAATAGTTTATAACTTGAATTAACATCTACACATAATTGGATTAACATCTAGGATATTTTTTTTCCCCCGGAAAAATGATTTTTTTTTATGTTATAGGGGGCATACGAGCAGACGGCTCACCTGATGGTAAGTGATCACCGTCGCCCATGGACATGGTTCTGTGGGATTCTCAAAATACTTAAGTTAAAACGGACCAAGTTGCGGGTAACCGTAAAAGCACAGCCCGTAATACATGAGGTTTTATAGGCTATTATTGTTAAATCGAAATTAAATTGTGTAGAAACGATTCCGCTCACAGAGTGCAATTTCAAGATAGGGAGAAGACGTAGAATTGATTGCTCTCACACTCCCCCTTTAAGATGACATCAACGGTAAGTGCAAAAGTTGATCTTGAGATAGGTATGTACGAGTAACTAGATGGTTCATATTAGAATACTGACGTAACTACTTAAGCCGTACAGGTGCTCAAGTGTAGAGGGCCTACTCTAAAAGTCCATTGCTAAACGAAATTTGTTTAAGTTATTTAAACGAATAGATTTTTTTTGGACATAAAATAACAAAAAATATGATCGAGAATGAGATTAAATAGCCTGTATAACAATGTTAATAGCGTTTGCTTCGTGAATTCAATGTGCTAACTAATAATTGAAATTGCTTATTGAAAAAATAAAATAATATCAAAGTATTTATTTATGTATCATTCATTATCACTAAGCTTTAATTATTTACTCTCTCAAAGTCACTAATATCATCATAGTCATCATCATAATTGACTCGAATTATAAAAAAATCACACAAATTATCAACATTGTTACAAGAAGCGAAGATATTGCTAACAAAAAGGTTTTATAAAAAAATTTGACACATAATCAGTGGACAGGGATTCCTGTGGAAGAAAAAAAAATCCTTATAAATTATTGCAACATCAATATTGTAACCTTGCTTCAAAAACATATATTCATAAAATATCTGTGCTAGATTGAGAACTATGTAAGAGTATGCAATGCATACAACAAACAACTTTTTGAAGTGAAACTTATTTAGCACCGTGTTGTGATTTGAAACTCGATGAAACGAAAAGCCACACAAATGATCAGTGGTTCGATCCTGAGCTCGGTTATTTTTTTTCATTGTTTTTTTTTTGAAAAAAAAAATAAGTATTGGAATATTTAATTTGGTTAAGTATTAAACTTTTGGTGGGTGCCTGAGTTGTTTATTATTACAAACTTGGTTATTATCAACAATCCTTACCTTTCCAATGTTTGCAACTTTTTTACAGTATTTTATAAATTATTATTTTCGAAAATAAACCTAAGATAAGACATTCATAACAAAAGAAATAAAAAATAAAAATAGCTGGTGTTTACGACTTTTACATATTCACATTTTTGTAGGTTTCACTTCTATCGACTGTGAACAGCACTGCATTACATTTGATAAAGCACTTGAAAACGGACTTATGTTATTTATGGCGCGACTACTTATTACTTCTACTTAAACTTAGTGCAACCAAAGTACTAGTACCTTGGGTACCTCCTCTCTCCACCAGTCTAGTCAAAAGTCCCCCACCAGCTCCAACATAAACCACCTTACGCCCCTCCAGGTTTTATATCACTCTCCTGAGGTACCTCGGTAGCCTATGATGCCGTAGAGCATCCCTTATCGCCTCAAACGGGAGGGTGTTGAAGGCGTTCTTCACGTCGAGAGATATCGCGACTGAGCTGTCACTGGGAGCGGTGACCAGGAAGGAAAGGGTTTTCCTTTCTGGCCACCGCTCCCAGTGAGAGCTGTATCAGGGCCATTATGGCGTCCACCGAGGACTTTTTTTCCTGAAGCCAAACTGCACCTCCGACAGATTGGGCCCCACGTTGTCAAGGTGCTGGACAATTCGGTTTGCAAGGATCTTTTCTAAGACCTTGCCCAACTCGTCCAGCAGAATGATTAGACGGTACGCAGACGGTGACTCGGCCGGTCTGCCCTCTTTCCTATTTAGGCAAAGTTTATCCAAAAAAAGAAAGCGTCCTTCCCTAACGCACCTGTTGAGGATCTTCAGGTAGTACTCTCCCAGGTGCCCTATAGCTATAGAGAGGACCCGCCCCGGAATCCCGTCCGGTCCCGGAGCATTCCTTTTGCCTCGCGTCCGCTGTAGGGCCACCTCAAGCTAACCTTTGCTGTTACAAAAGGCAATATGACAAGTTTTTGAAAAAGTTCAGAGGTTATTTATTAATGTATAGTGGCTCTGTAAAAAGTGGATATATTAGTAACAAAAATGAAAATAAATATTCTGTTTTCCAATTTGCCGCGTAAATTGTTTCTCTAGCAAATATGGCGTCTTACAGGCAGTTGATGTCATTTTAGGCTCCGCCAATCTAAGGCGTTTTCGGTCACGTGATAATGGATAAAAAAATACATATATATCTTTCATGATTTTTAGTAACATTACCATCAACTTTTTTTGTCAGAATAGTGAAATCACTCCCAATATTTATGTAACGCCAATATACACATTCCAAAATTTGGTACTTTATTTTTCATACTGTCAAATAGGCTAAGTCTACTGTCCAATTTCAAAGCGAGTCGTAAATCGTTTCAATATAAAACGCATTGCTGTTATGCACGTTCAGAGTTACCCCCCTAACACTGATGGCTCGTTAATCTCGCTCCAAATTACATCGCTCCTCCCATTGGAGGTTCTGTGGCCTAGTAGGACCCATATTGATGGCGGAATAATTACACGAATTCATTAGTTAGTACAACAAGTCAAGTTTTGATGTATTGCAAGAAGAGAAAATATTAGTAATGGCTGCTGCAATTAACTCGGTGTAATATTGGCGTTAGGCTAACAGTTGTTCAAGCTTGCTTGGCGAGCTTAATTCGCTCTTTTGATTAAGGTTGAACTTTTCTTGATTTATGAACGCATCAAAGCAATATAATGTAACTAGCTTTTGCCCGCGACTTCGTCCGCTTGGACTTAGTGATTCAGTCATGAATCCGCTTTATCATCAATCTGCTTGGTATTTAAAAAATATAAATTTAGTAGCTTTGTGTTTGAAACGGGTTAAATTCGGGGTAATTATAAAATAAAGCAACAGTGCCGGTGCTTGTAATTCTAATATGCCAATTAGCTGACGTAGATACTGCCCCATTAGTATATTTTAGTTATTTTCATAGTGTAATGTCGTACAGTATTTTGCTGTGGGGAAATGCTGCCGACATTCAATTAATTTTGTGCAGCAAAAACGGACTGTTCGATCAATTTACAATCTTAAGACTAAATAATAAGAGAAAATTTTAAAGAAATCGATATAATGACTATTGCTTCTCAGTACATTTATAAAAATTTAATGTACTCGTATGTTCGAAAACATATTACATTATTTCCTATAAATAGCGATAAGCACTCGCTTAGTACTAGAAATAAATATAAATTAGCTGGCTCCACTTACAAGGCTCCACAAAATCGATAATTCATTTAAATGTCTTTATGTACACTTTTACAATCAAGTTCCTAGTAATATCCAGAAACGCTTAACGTCAATCAATTGAAAGCTATTATTAAAAGAATTCTTATTAATAAAGTAAATAAGGTGTCTGATTATAATAATAATAAAAAATAATAATAATTACTATTTCCAACACTCACAAAGTTAAGTAAGCACTGTAAGGCTTGTGTTATTTGAACTATAACGGAATGGTAATGGATAGAATACATAAACTGTACATTTATATAACTATATTTATATAGAAATACATAATAAACATCCATGACTGGATTACAAATGCTCGTATTCATCACACAAACATCTGCCCCCACCGGGAATCGAACCCTCTCGAGTCGGCGACACCATGAAACACGGCGTACAAACCACTCGGCCACGGAGGTCGTCAAGTCAATTATATTTCAGACAAAAATGCTTGGGTCTCCACTGTTCCAAACTTTCCGGCAGGCTTTTTCTATAATTATGACGAAGATGATATGATTTTGTATTGAGACGGTAACAATATAATATTTTGTAAATATTGTTACGTAATTACTTAACGCTGTGAAGTTCTTTTGCCAGTTTTTTTCCACAGCTAAAAGAATGTCCTTAACTGGTGATAGGGAAAAAATATGAACGATTCAAAGGAGATGCATTGTGGATCCAATTTGAATAAAAAAAGTTGACGTCGAAATGGCGGTCATCCGTCTACTTTCACACCACCTCCTTTGGAATCGTGAATTAGTCCAATCATAATATACTTGTACTTGGTAATATAAAAGGGTTTTCGCAAAATTATCAGTACAGCACAACTCAAAGAAGGCAAGAAGCGCATTTTTTGATGGTTTTGTAAGTTTATCTGCGTGATTTTACTGATTAAAATATACTCTTTGGCCATTTTCCAGATGAACCGCAAGATGAAACACGGTGGGGAAGCGTTCGTAAATCGAAAATCCAAGAGTTCGCCGTATCGCTTTTGAAGTACTTATGTACCTCACACATTCGTAATATCTATACTTCACCTTTTTCATTTTCTAAAGAAAAAGTGGCCTGGATCCATTATTTATGTATTTGCAAACGTATTTTATTGATTCAACAGACAGACAGAATTCGACGTTTATATGTGCGTTAAATGTTCTCCAAAGAACTGGATTATATGGAACTACCCAGCGGCTGTCAATCTCTGGTCCATTTATGTCAAAATTAAAGCCACCTGTCTGTAGTACGTTTTCTATTTTGCGAGTAGCCTTCGTCCCCGGTTTGTGTTTGTCTAACTAGAGGCCTGAGATACCTTTTAGAGCAATTTTTGTTTTTCATACAAGGTGACTTATAATTAAAACTGCCGCATGAACCATGAAGCATATCAGATTTTACTTCATACTCGTATTTCGAAACGCGTGTTATAACAAACTTTTATATGGATGAGTTCATCCACATAAACGTTTGACACCTCGATCCCCTTTTTAGGGGGTAGTTTGGGATAAGTTATAAACTTTATTATTTAGATAAGTATTTGTGCCAAGTTTCAAGTCTATTAACCAAAGGAATACAATTTCTCAAACAAACTTTCATCAACTTATTTACCCTTCAGGGGTAGAATTACAAAACTCTAGACACACGTTATTCTTTATTTCTGATCTCAAGTTTAAATATTGAGTTTCGATTTAATCGAATACGCGTTAAAATTAATTCATATGAAAACTTCGGCACCTTCCTATCCTCCCTTTAGGGGGAGTTTAGTTTAAAACTTTTTTTTAGTCAGAGAAGTATTCGTACCAAGTTTTAATTATATTCACTCAAAGAATAATAAATTTCACACAAACTACCATCCCCTTTTTTACCCTCTTAGGGGTAGATTTTCTAAAAACCCTGATACATGTTATTCTTCATTTCTGGTCTTTAGTATACTAAGTTTCCAGTTAATCGAAATGCGCATTAAAAGTAATCCATATGAAAACTTCGACACCCTCCCAATCCCCTTTTAGGGGGTAGTTTAGAAAAACTGAAAATGAAAAACCTTATAAAATATTAAGATAAGTGCATTCGTGCCAAGTTTCCAGTCTATAAACTCAAGTAATAGGATTCTTCACACAAACTTTCTATGTGTATTCGTGCCAAGTTTCCAGTCTATAAACTCAAGTAATAGGATTCTTCATACAAACTTTCTATCTCTATTTTAACCCCTTCGGGAGTGAATTTTGAAAAGTCCTTTCGTAGTGCACCCCTAGACCTCATAAGGAACCTCTTGCCAAATTTGGATTCTTTAGACCTAGCGGTTTGGGCTGTGCGTTGATAGGTCAGTCAGTCAATCAGTCAATTTCTACTTTTATATATTTAGATGTAGGTGATACTATACAACTTTTTTATAAAATTAACCAACTAAAGAAATAAAACACAAAAAATAGGAAATAATCAACTTTAAACTAAAGTAGGTTTATTCATAAAAAACCGTGTAAACTTATTTCGTTAAAGTGTCGTGTATATCATAAAATTTACTCATGGTAGTGTTTATTTTATTTATTTAGTGTATTTTTGTGCAATAAATAAATAAATATTTCCAACACTCACACCGATTAGCCTAGCCCCAAAGTAAGCACTGTAAGGCTTGTGTTATGAGATGCTAGGGTAACGGATAGAATACATATTTATATAGAAATACATATTAAACATCCATGACTGGAGTACAAATGCTCGTGTTCATCACATAAACATCTGCCCTAACCTTGTTTTTAAGCCGACTCGAGAGGTCCCGGGTTCAAATCCCGAACCCGGGACCTCTCGAGTCGGCGACACCATGAAACCCGCCGTACAAACCACTCGGCCACGGAGGTATCGCCACGGCCACGTCAACGTAAATAAATTTTAAATATGCAAACTCACACACTCCTATGTATTTAAAAATGTCCTTAATTGAACCCTATTAGACCAGGGTCGATAATTTTTGAGACCAAAAAAATTATAGTAGGATGAAACCCATTAGAAAAGGTAGAGAATATAACAAAAATGAAAGGAAAAATAAATTACGGGCGATCTGAGGTCGGGAAGGGGGAGGGGGTGAGTTTTTAAGGGTAAAAAATGGTTAATCTCGATTTCCGGTAAAACTGCAAGTTCTATGAAAAAAAGTTAAATGGCAAAGTTGTAGGTAATAAAAAGATCTATAACTTTTGTATCGACACTTTTTTCACATAACCTCAAAATTTATGTGAAAAATGCGAATAACCGAGTTTTTGGTTTTTGATTTTTATTTTTTGCAAAAAAAAATATTTTTTCACGAAATTTTGTGAAAACTTACCTTTGTATGTCCCAAACATACAGTAATTTTTTGGATTTAAAATATTCATTTTTTCACCTTATTTTAACTTAATATCGAAAAAGCACCCTTATTTCAATCGAAAATTCTCACGTCAAAATATCTGCTTTTTTAAAAAAGTTGGGGTGTTTTTTGTTTGTTGAAATCTCTACTTTCTGATGGTATAAAAAAATATACACTACTATGGTAAATGTTCTCAGAAACTGCAAATTAATAATGAAAAAAACTCCAATCCGCAAAATGTATAATTTTGAACTATTTATTAAAATTTACACTTTAATTACTCGAAAAACGTAAGATTTCATGTTATATTGATGAACAGCAAAATTACAAATCCATAAAACATGCAAAAATAGTTGTTGTAAGTAGGTATTAAAAATAGGATT